CATGCATGTGGGATAGTGCCCCTAATCTGAATGTCCTAGGTTAAGAGGGTGTGGCAGTCCATGGTAGGCTTTAGAATCACAACAAGTTTCACAAATATGTTTCACCTCCAGCATGAGGATCCACCCACCCTTCATGGTTCCTGGTACACCTTAACCTCGTTCTGTTCTCTTGATTACTGGCCATAAATGGCTTTTATGGGAAGTGATAAATCATTTCGGCTTGTAGGATGGTTTTGGAGAGAGTGTGGGTGAATGGAGTATGGGAAACAAGGAAACCCTGGGCCATCTTTGCTCAGGAGGTTTCTGTCTGTGTGCTTATTCTAAGCATTCCTACTCATTCCCTAAGGGCATTTCCATGTCATTTCGATTCCCTTTAATGGGCGTTCTATGGGTGCACTCTGAAGGTGATTACAACTGAGAGTGTTTTAACTTACGGAACGATTTTGCCACGAGGCCCCATTCTCTTGCAGATTATTGAGATTCCTGGTAAAGTTGTCATTTCCAAAAACAGAAGAAAGGGTGGGTGGCGCTCCGGGAATATTGACACTTGAAGAGTGATATTGGTGCCCTATCTCGACCGGATGTCACGAGATCTAGGATAATGGAGGAGCTTGTTGTTCGAGAAGAAGGAATGTCGGCCCAACACTCACCGTGAACCGTATTTCTCTTCCGATCCTGAGGTTCGGCAGCCATGAGGGGAACGAAAGGTTCTAGGATAGCCTCAGTGACCTGAATCGCTTCGAGCTTGCTTTGTTCTCTCTAGGTCCCCTACTATGAACTGCCCCAAGACGTACCGGTAACTCTTCTTGGCATTCTAAGGCTCCTTGCTTCCATCTGTCTTCAAAGGGAGGTCCTAGTAGGTATCGTCGGCTACCTAAAGCCTCTTGAGGTTGCTTTGGATTTCAAGATCGAGTGACGTGCCTGAATTCATGAGAAATGTCATCGTGACATTCGAGAAGGGTGGTCCAACGGATAAAAGATCCGAGAGATTGATAACGTTCCATCTATAATTCCCAGACGCTCGAAAAATTGAAACGACGAATTTCCTCAAGGGCATATCCATCGTATAGCTTGACTTTTTTGAAAAAAACGTCAACGCATTAGTTTTGGGAGCGTCTTTTACTATCAGATCCTTCTTTCATTTTCATTCCCATTCCCTAGCTTTTAATTAAAATTAATGCTGTTTGTTGACGTTGCTATTCGATTTTACTCATCTATCACGAGAATTGTAGTTTATGTAAATATTCCGCTGCTTCTATGGAATCTGCCCATGTGAGTCATTGTGGTGAGAGAACAACTTCTACAGTAATCCAATCCCTTAACAAGAAAGCTTTTTTTTAAAAATAATTTACTGAGTAACAAAGAATACGATTACGATTATGGGTAGCACTCCAGCAGCCCTACTAGAGTTCTTTCTCCACTTCAAAGGAGGTTCACAGCCGGGGACTTATGGGTGTTTTTTGTTTGTTTTTGGTGGAGGAAATGGGAGGTGTCCAGTGACAGTTCATATAAACTGATCCTTTATAAAATGGCGGCATTAAGAGTTTTCGGATTTACACCCTGGAATTAACCCTAGATGTTCGATACGATCGCTACGATCTCAATAAGGAAGAGGGAAATGGGTAAAGGGGGAGGGGGAGTGGGGTGCAGATGTTCTGGGAAAGCATGCAACAGCAATTTCCTATCTGCTAACGAAACAACTCTATCTCTTAGTCAGAGCAGCTGAATTATGCAATTCTAAAAGCCAATCGAATCCAGTCCTAACCTATATCGATACTGGTTTTTACTTAAGCCCAATCTCAGTGGTCCATCTACTCCTTTTACCGGTTCCTCTTGGTAACAAAAATTCTCCTGATTTTTTCCCATACTACTTTCATTTGAATAGTCCTATCTCCCTCTGTACTACTTCATGATCATGAGATCTCTTCTGGGTAACGCTTTTTCTGTTTTGAGCTCTCCTACCTGTTCGTTAGTCTAACCGACTTCCCCTTGACTCGGTAAGGTCGTGTTACGATTCACTGCAACCGCTGCCCTGTCAGTGGGCACGACTAACCATTACTGACAGTCACATTAGCTTTCATCTCCATTTTATGGTTGTCTCCCAACTGTTGCCTGCAAAAAAACTTTCCCAAATTGGTTAATAGATAGGCAAGCTATTTGAGGCTTTAGGAAAACTTCCGAATCTTTGTACTTACTTTTACATGGCATTCATGCTGAGTGCCTTTGATCTGCAAAAACCTCCCGAGCTCCAAAAGCCTCGAAACCTAATCTCTGTGGCCACTTCCTGCTATTCGAAACGTTTTACCCATTTTTCCCTTTGGTTAGCGGGCCCTAACTAAATCTCAAGTTACAGGTATGCGATGACGAATGGCATTCGTATTCGTTGCTTTTCAACGGAGTCGACGATGTGAATCTGATGATCGATGGCGTTGTCTTCAAAGCAAATGAAAGAAATCCGGAAATTCTTGATGACTGGCCACTTCATCAGACGAAGGCCGTGGTAAGTAACGCGACTGTTCCAGATGAAGGTCTCCATAACTCAAATTATACCTTCCAGAAGACTCGACTAGTCGTCGGTGCATGTTGGCATGGACGTCAACAGGCGATGGCCCAATTTTTCAAGGGTAAACACCCTTTTTTTCACGGTTGTGCCCTTCAAGTACAATTATACGTTTTTTGTTCAGGATCGCTCTCGGCTGTGTATCTTCTTGTTGGGGAAACTGAAAGTCAATCCGCCATCGAATGTGCACATCGCTGTCCTGAACAACTACAATACACAGGGATGGACGAAATTATTGACGGGCAGGTGAGCTGAGTTGTCCTGAATAGTAGACTAACCGCCCGAATTCGGCTGGAAATTCCTGGCAACGTAAAATACCTTGGGCTTTCCAGAGTGTCACATTCGGAATCGAGCAGTCCAGCGTTACCGTTAAAGCATCAAATGAGCAGGAGATCAGCAAAATGCTCCAACGGGTAAGACGGTCTACAGTAAACCAAACTACAAGATCCTCAAATTGCTCTTTAGGTCTCTTATGTGAACACGCAAGAAAAGCCGATTCCTGGGCATCGACCGTGGATTCTGACCACCACTGTGGAATGTGCTGAAGGAAAACAGGTAGGATCCGCTGAAGATGACTATCCACCCACTCGGGACTTGGTTCTTAACTCGGAAAACAATATCTTACCCCTGAGAGGTCGAGGAAAAGCCTTGGCAAAACTCATTGTAGCTGCATCTGACCTTCTGGCAGGAGAACTCCCAATTCTGAATGGGAAACACCAAGGGCGTGGATGGTTCCTTCGATGTCGTAGAGAGGGATGCTCCAAGCACTCATATCTCCCCTGTGAATGAGCATTGTTGGGAGAACTGAAACGCCTACTGGGACCTTGGCAACAACTTTCACCTGTGGTAGAGTGGCAGAGGAAGCCTTGGGAAGAAGGTCTTCTAGAAGGTCACGTTGCTGCTCAGCACACCGGCTACTCCTTGAGAGCCCGTGCCGGAAGGCTTCTTCTCTCCTCTCCCTTCCGGGAAACTCCAGCTCACGGCCTTAGGAGCTTACTGCCATCCGTGTAACAAGTTTGCCCAACCAAAGATGAATTTTACCTTTTTTTACGACTCCTAAGCCGGAATTCGGCTTGTCCTCAAATATTGACTGGAGAAGAAATTGCAACATCTACTCAATCTCACAGCATCTCAGAGGCGGCATAGACGGTTCTCTATGCGTCCCTCCTTACTGCCCATCCGGAAAGTATCCAATTTCCGTGGAACTTTCTTTTGGGGATAAATGGTTTTCCATTAAATTCCTTCTTCTTCGAGAAAAAAAAACGATTTGCAGAAAGCAGATCCTCTTTTGGAATTCTTTGGCATTGGATTTCTTTGAGAGCTGGCGGAATGGCTAGCGATTAACTGAGGAGGCTAATTTGTACACTCCTCTAGCCATATACCGCTGGCACTCTCGAACGTAATTGCCGATAAGCTAGTGAGGAGGAAAAATCGATCCATGGGAGTGTGTGTGGGGAGGCAGGGGGATTATGGAAATGAGCTGGATTTTCTTGGTAAAGTAATATTGTCATGTAGGGCTGTAATATGTGCTAATGGCTTCTCCCTACTGCTTCATATATGAGATCCAAGCAAGTGGGATCAGAAAAAATATCCGGGATTACAGCTATTCTCTCCGCTAGATTCCGAAGCCATGGTCTTCACGAACTTGGGGATGTTTCTCTGTCCCCGAGGCAAAGTAAATAGCAAAAAAAAAACACTCGCCACAAACAAAAACAAACAAACAAGAAGAGCCTGAGCCCGTGACTGACTCGAATTTTTCATTGAATTAAGGGTTACCCTTCAGTTACCCCTCAACCCTCAAAGTACCTGCACCCTCCCTAGACGCCAGAGGGTTCCTTTTTCGAGGTCTCCATTATGGGGTCTCAAGACGAGGCATAATTTCAAATGATTGAGTCCCCTACTCAATCCTCTTATCTCATTCAGGGGAAAGCCATAATGGAATATTTAAATTATCAAAATCCTATTCCAGCTGGTGCAACAAAAAAAATTTATTGATTCCTATTTCAGCTGACTCTACCAACTACCAAGGGTTACGTTTTCGTAGAACGTGAACCTGAGCCAGTACTATCGTTATCGGGTACGGTAATGTTGGATGTTGATCAACATGCTGTCAAAGTTGGTACTCCAATGATTTCCGACATCCAGATCACCGTCAGCCAAACTGGAGCCAGTGAGTTTCACCCACGTTACACGCCCAAGACTTCGTAATAACCTCCCAAGAAGCCCTTCCCATTTCAGACGGCGAGGTGAAGGATGTGACGTCGGCACACGTACTCGATTACTGTAAAGTCCATCTGAAGCCATCTCGTGACATGGATCTCGAATACTTCTCATCACCCGCCTCCCTGATCGCCTCACTTCAGATAGACTTTGAACATGACAAAGAGGTTCGAAAAGTGTTTTAAATTTTTGAAGTTTACAATTCAAATTTCTCATGGGGACCTGAAATTGTCATCCATCAGTTCATCAGTTCATGGTGCTTACTTCGTCACGAGAGTTTTCATTTTTATTCGCCGACAATTCATCAATGTCCGCCGACCTAGCTGTCGCCTAGCCGGCAGTCTATTCATAAGTTTAAGTCTGTGTGAATTGCGGCTGACAACTGAAAAGGGCACTCGAAAATTTTGAGAAAAACGTGCAATAAAGAACAGCATGTCAAGCCTTACCCAGTAACCAGTAAGAGAGGTGTATGAAGTTTATTTACTTGCAGCCTTCAAAGTGTTGGGGTGTTAATCAATCCCGTCTAAGGGATCCGCCCACGCATTCGACTCCCATTCAGAATCGTAGTGGCGTAATGAGTGCGTATGTGGCCTATACAATGACTTGCGGTGGCCGGCCAATGAACGATCAGTATTTTTATCCTCTCAGACGAGTCTGGGACCAATTAACCGAACCCGGAGGGATGGAAGGCTTGGTTGGCCTAGGCGGGCATCGATTCGGGTTTCAAACCCCTGACTGTGCGTGCGAGATAGTGCGCCACTTGCCACTACACCACCTCCGCCCTTGAGTATGAAGGAAGATGTTCCGAGGGTTGAGAGCCGCTCACGTCGGGATAAGGACTATATGAAGGTTGGATGGTTGAATTTTTGCCACTGCATCGGATTGACGGTATACGATCACCGTATCGAACTAATCAGTGGAGAACCTACCCGAGTTTTTCCCAAACTAGTAGGTTGGTAAGGTGAAAGTTGGTTGCCTTTCTTTTACCGCTCTCCCTCTCCGGCTGTCAGTTACATCCGCTATTCGTTGAGCCAGCCAGAACGAAGAAGGTCCTGTTGGGGAGTGGTCCTCGAGGGATAATTCCTCTTTGGATTGCTTGAATAGGCATCCAAATGCTTCGTCGATCTGGGGGAAGCTGAATCCATGGTGTATATTCTGGGAATTGGCTAGCTAATGCCTAATCGCCCCTTTTCTGAAAAATAATCGCTGCTGATGGCAATTTAAAAAAGCTATTATTCATCCATTCAAGGGTTCCGGCCGGAAATTTGGGCTTTTCCAGTTGTTCTTTGACAAAGCCTTTTGGTCCTTAACTATTTCTTGGAATCATAAATTGTCAACAAATTGCAATATCAACTCTCCCCCCGAAAAAAAAANAAAAAAAAATTGCAGAAACGCTGGCAGTGGTCCCATACTAGTGAGAAAACTGCTTTTGAAGCTTTGCTACTAGTTGGAGCCCTTTTGCCATCGGAATCCTTTCGGAGCTGATTGACCCAAGTGTTTTTTCCGCCACTTTTTTGCATTTATGCCCAAGTGGGCGTCGATAAGGCCGTCAAGTTGGGACAATCTCATCTTCGACGAATCGTCGTAGTGCCTAAGGGGAAAAGCTGGCCGGATGGCCTGCCCCGTTGTCCGAAGTTTGTTGACGGGTAAAGGGGTGTGAACGATTGACGTATAGCACGGCATCACATGGTGTAAACCCTAAGGGATCAGCTAAAGACTGACTGCTTCCCCCCTAAAAAAGGTCCTGGGTTCTAGGATTGCCCTCAAGGGCACTAAGGACACCATAGAATGCGTGAACACATAGAAATACTTTTAAGCCTCATGCTCAAAAAGGACAAATGCTCTCGATGTTGATGAGCTCTTCCTGGATGAGCCGTGCGTTCGACTCCTACACAAAATCGTCGATGTCGCGTGAAGTTCATGACGACTTGTTTTTGCGTTTCCACCTAAATCTTTCCAATTCCATTTCTTGAGTAAGTGGATAATGCCTAAATTTCAAGTCGCCTCTGAAAGGCTTCCTTTCCGTACCCAAGCGGAGACTGATAGCGCTTCTGGTAATCGCTGATACCCAGTGATCTTTCATGATAATTGCGATAATCCGATGAAACACATGTGGTATCTGAAAGGCAATTCCGTTTGTCATTTGCTCTGGTCAATGCATTCAATGGTTAATTAATCCTTTGTATCGATACGATATGGCAGCAGTCAGCGATGAAAGCTTTTTTGTCCTTTCCTGCATTACCCCCGGTGACAACCAACTGTCAACAGAGTTGACGGACCGGTTAAGCTCAAAGATTAAACCTCTAAGGGGCACTATTCACCTTGAGCACGTGAACGGAACCCCTTGGTGGCGTTGTGCACGAGTGAGCATATCCGTGACGGAAAACGGATTAACGATAAACAGGATTAGTGAGGGGATATAACTCAATCATGGTGATTGGATATGGTGGCGTTGTGCACGTGTGAGCATATCCGTGACGGAAAACGGATTAACGATAAACAGGATTAGTGAGGGGATATAACTCAATCATGGTGATTGGATATTGCCTGCCCAGCCAGGTAGGTAGGCTAAGCTAATTGCCTACGTGCCTACAGAACTCGGGGGCTATAGAAAAACAGTACAGAACTCAAGGGGCCATAGAAAACCACCTTGAAGGGGCCTATCACACGCAGTCCTGGTCGAATCCTACATCGACATCTTCGTGGACAACCAAGCCTCCAGGGGACAATTAATGGGTAACGAACCTGTCTGCGTACCGGCTTGTACATTGCCTTACCCCCATAGATCCCTCTATAGGCCGTACTTAAACGCCATTACGATTCTGAATAGAAATAGAATTCCTGGGCGCCCACGAAATGCGATCGATCAACGCCAAGAGTACTTCTGTACTCATACTTCCGCTCTTTGAGATAGATTATTGATGGATAAGTCAATTGGAGACCAAGAAACCAGTTATTCGAGCCTCGAGAGAAATTAGTAACTTAACTGCCTGGTAAGAATCAACTATGAAGTTGTGAACCCCTTATGGGAGGCCCAGAAGAGCCGCCGCTTCCCACATATTGAGAAGCGATCTAGCGGAAACCTAAGAGGACAATGAGGATTCCTTTTATTTTATTGCTTTTTATTGCTTATTGATTCCTTTCGCTGTGTGCCATGTGGTCGACTTCTCCTTGAAAAAGGGTAGAAAAAATGGGGTCAAAAAAGGGGTTCCTTTGGTAAAAAAAAGTCCCACTCCATTGCGATGTTGATGGCGGTCGATAGGGCCCGTAGCCGGGCTAGATACACTCTTTTCATTGCATTTCCAGACAGATAACCATCTTTTTTTTTGCTTCGATGTTGATATTTTTCATTTTTCTCATAATTTCATTTCAGGGCATCCTTCTACGTGGAGAGGAGAGCGTGAAGGGCTACCGTGAAGTTCTATCAAAAATTCACTACTTCAACACAAGACCTGACACCTATAGCAAACGTATTTACACGGTCCAATGCGCTATGCTTAAAGGACAAGTGCTCAGCAATGAGCTCGTGATTACGGTAGGCATTTGTACTGTACTACATTTTTACTGTCATTCAGTTCAGAACCTTCTTTCCTTACTTCTCTTCCTTTCTTCTATCCATGGCTTCGAATGCCGTGTTTTTTACTGACTGGGAAAGGAAACGTCGTAAGGCGAAGGTCAAAAATGCAAACAGGATAGAGGTCCATTAAGTATCTGGCCGCCAGGCCAGAATCTATTTACATCTGACGGAATTTTTCCCCCATTTCCGAGACCGAACGTCCATTCGATTCCTATTCATCAGGCGAGTCACATATGAGTCCGTCAAGCGTGCCAGCATGCCTGGCCGCAGTTGTTTTTCTGCCGCTTGAACGCTTTCTGAGCCAACGTTGTTATGATTGCACGACGAGTGTAATTTTCAACGACCATGGACGGCCAATGGTCGTTGAACAGGCGCTTAACAACTGGTAACAAAAATTGTTATCGTTTTGTTATTTTTCCCAATGCAGCCGCAGAAACCATCACCGAAGCTCCCAAACAAACCCCAACTGGGTAAAATTTCTGAGGCTTCAGGTGAAGTGTACGGGAAACTTTCATCCTGCCCTAGCAGTGAAACATGCTCGAGCACTTCCTCTCGAAAGTCCCAGTTTTTTCCTAGAATCGTCCTTTATTGATGTGGGCCCGCCCCATGCCCTCATGAATCGCACCCTAACAGCATATCTGTCCATAGGGGGATGTCGCACGTCACGTGCGTCATCTGATTCCCCCTACTTGAAACTCGTACATTTGACATTCCAATAAAGCGTTGCTCCCAAGGAGGCGTCAGGGTTGGAGGCGCCCGGTAAACAACTATATCATCAAACTAAAGTAGAAATAAAAAGGCGCCATTAAGGGGATTCCATCGAGGTCCCTCAGACAGAAGTAAAACAACAACTCCCGAACAAACACAGGATCCTCCAACTGAGCAGAGTTCTTGTAGGCAATACACAGAGTCCTCCAATTGGGCCGAGTCCGTGTGGGGGTAAACTAGTGCGCTCGGAATATGGCTAAGGTTTCGGTGAAGCTGTAAAGTCAGACATAGGTTGACTAGGAAGAATCTTTGTAGTGATCACCGCCCTCCGTCACCTCCACCGTGAGCCACTGACGTCCCCAGTCGCGACAGTATACTACAATGAATTCTTCTCTTTCGCCAGGATATACATTGGGATCGGGCACTCGGCGGAATTCGGAAAACTCGTATTTTCTGATTTCTGCAGCTGGTAAAGCCGAAATATGGGTGAATGGGTACCGGCGAGTCCCTGACAAGACAGAATCGGCTGATTCCTTCTATCCAGAATGATGACCATCAGCAGCCATGCTGCTGTACGCTTGATGAGGCAAAGAATGCTACGAAATACGTCATTCTTCGATATCCAGCTATTCAGCCGGAACGATGGATGCATCGAGGCATCTCGCTTCAGCTTGAGAAGTTTTTGCTCATCACAGGCAACATGATGGCGATGCTGCTCGATTGTAGGAACCGACAATCGTTAGTGGGCTTTCTAACAGGCTGTGCTCATCCCGCAGCGTCCAGTCTAAACGTTTGGTCCTCGCTATCTAGTCAGGGATTGGCCAATATCCATATTTGAACAATAGGAATGACAAACTTCGATACCCCACAGTCCCATCGAAATGGCGTCCGCTTGAGACTGATATACTGAACTCTCCTTATGAGCCTAACCTATCAGTGAGGGGCTTTCATCGAACTCGTGATCCTGTGGAGTGAAGGAAGCTGGTTCTGGCCTTCTGGCCTTGGGCTTCCCAGCAGGTTGGGGACGGAGTCTTCAGGAAGCTCGAAAAGTGAATTTTCGGATGCCACGTGAAAAGCTAGGGTTGTACACCTCGTACTTCCCGATGCTATGTCCCTGAAGTGGTGGGATTGAGTTTCATTTCTGAGAAATTTCATCCCTACACTTCCCTACACTTTACACTTTCTGTAAGGATCCATCCAAGACCTCCAGAGGAGGAATATGTTCGTGATTGAAGCTTCAACAGGGACAATGTAAGGGTTTCCAAGGTAATCTTACGGGTTGTTCTCAAACCGCTCAGTGTCTTTTCCCTGCGAAATACTCTTTCCTGGGCCAAATTTTCCCTATAAAGTTTTTGTTTCAGTATTTTCCGACAGTTGACTTGCCCATTTGGCCTGGACTTAATTAAAAACCACCCGAGCAGTTATCGCGTCAAATTATCTTCTTCACAGCCGCTTCGGCGCTTAATCAACTCCCCCTAATGTCCCTCTTCCAATTTCCAACCAACTTTTTCTTCCCACTAGTTTTACCGTCATGAAAGATGGTCCCACCGCGATGAGTTCTACTTTTCAAAACTGGGAAATCCTTAGTGTTTACAGGCTCACTTGGCAAAGGATAATCGGTATGTAGAGGTTCTTTGAGGGGATAATTAGGTGTACTTTGAACAGCCACACTCTGATGCTCTCGTCAGCCATGTTCTTCACTTCGCTCAAGCATGCTGCCCACTGTCTGTCCTCTCTTCTCTGGGGGCCCTGCTTCTCTGGGCGATTTTCGGCACGAATAAATCATATGTAACTCTAGTCGTACTCACTAACGAGCCGCGACAAACATAACACGTTTTCAAGCAGAGCTTTTCCAGTGCTTGGCGGCACTCGGCGCCCGGCCGACCGACGGGCCAATTTCCCCCTAGGGCGATAAACGCCCACCAGCACGAGCAGAAACGAAAAGCGGGCAATTAAGCACTTGTGGGTTGTGCAGTTTCGCTCACAACCCATTCCTGCTCAACCTAAAAACTCCAGTGAAATGTTCGTTGATGTACATTTTCTTCAATGGCCCCTATTCTCACGTGCTTTTCCCCGAAACTGCCCACAAATCTCAAGCACATGATTACATGCAGAATGTACTTTTCGTTCAGTTATCTGCCGGATTCCTCTGCATAGAATCTTATGCGAACGGAGAGGCGGAGCAGCGTCGGCACAAGCGCCGTTCTTGATCCGCACTTGTTCCCACTCTTCTGCCCCTGTCTGTCCTAGCAGCTCTCAGACGCCTCTTCTGTCCCAGTGTTCGGGGTACTTCTGACGCTGCCCGCCGTTTGATGAGGCCAATCGTAGCTATTTGTTGTCGCCCCCTTTGGAAATTTTTCTTCCTGTTGTTCAAAGGTCTGCCATCGATTATCCGCTGGTCCTCCGGCTTCCGCTCAACCACTTCACCACCACCGCCAAATGCCTCAGNGCATTTCTCTGTCCATTTGTTCGGAACTCGTCGAAAGTCGCTCGCAGCTTCGCGCGGTCCATTTCCATCCGGTGTTCAGTGTCCCGAATAATCGGCTATTTAGCTTTTTATGATGTTCCATGTTTACAGATGACGATCGGGCCATCGAGTTCCGATGCACCGGCCTCATCCTTCTCTTCTACCGAAAACTTTGACAGTTTGGACATGCTGGAAAGGCATTTCGAGCCAGCATTCGATCAAATTGGCAGCAATCGCCTCCAGAACATTCTCGAAATGGACCTACCCCGACCGAAGGCCCTGCTCTCACATCATGGCTACGAAGTGGGACAAGGAGCCATCGCAGGTAAAACCAACGCTTTCTATTTATACTTCAGCTTGTAAACAATCATTTCAATATTTCAAGGTGGCGCAGTTGCCGTTGTCGTGGTCATTTGCGTCGGATTCCTTCTGGTCCTTTTGGTAATTGGAGTGCTGAAAATGAGAGACACACCTTTACCCCGTCGACGAAAGAACCAACGACAGGTTTCTTAGCTTTGTTTAGGCTGTCCCTGTTCCATCTTTTATCTGCGACCACTAATGACCTTTTCAGGATGATGGCATGTCATGGGATGATTCCGGAATGAACATCACAGTGAATCCATTGGGTGATGTAGAGAAGCATGTCGTCGAGGATGAGTTCAGTGAGGATGACGAGAGCAGCGACGGAGAAGAAAGGTGAGCAGGAATTACCACGAGTACCCAGTTCCTGACTGGGTATTGGATCGGAAATCAAACAGTCATGACTGAAATTCTCGACTTGACTGCTTTACCGCTACATTCCTTTCTAATTCGCCATTCCTCTTCTTACCCATGGTCTTGCTTGGTTAGTCTCCCATACCAAAAACCACTTGTTGTGAAGGGGCTGATAGGAGAGCCATTGAGGTCCCGAAAAGAAGTCATCCGAGGAATTGACCTAACGGATACTCCTCCTGCTGCTGTGCCCGCGTATCATCTCTGCTATATTGGAAAGCCATTTTCTGAACTACCAGCCTTGTACTCGAGCATTCTCTGCTGGACTAGCTCACTGAAAAGCTTCGGCATTTCGACTTATTGGGGAAAGTCCATGCAGTTTGTAGGGTTTCGAAAAGCTTTTCCCTTGATTAGGTGCTGTGTTCTTGGGCTGCCTCCTTTTTTTGGGACAATTCTTTAGAGCTTGGGGAAAGTCGACATCGACTATAAACACGAGAAATCAATGGTCCTCTCCGTAAATGGGGGCTGAAAGGGAGAGCATTCTTGGCTTTTTGCTGGGCAAGCTTTCATATAGCCATATTATGCCCAGTGGCGACATCATTATAATAGGAATATCGCCATTTCATTCGGGAGATGTCCCCTTTGCATTCCATGGGGTTTCAGAGATCCAGAACACACTATGTCGACAAACTCCCATATTGTTCCCGTCGTTTTTTTCAGCTCCCTTACCGTCTCCCTTTTTTCGATGTTCACCAAATGGCCTAGAACTTCTTTATGGTTTTGCTAACTGTTGCTTTTTGTCCCTGTGGGAGCTACGATCCCGAGCGTGTTCTCTTCCTACGGGCAAAATTGAGGTTTCGCAATGGTTGTGTATGGGAAGAAAGTACAAGTTCTTTAAAAGTAAAATTCGATTCCCACACTTTAAGTGCCTTGCACAAGCTGTACAATCTTAGTTTTTCATTTTACTCCCTATAACCTATTCTTAGATCTCCCACACGATTTCGTCACATTCTCCTGCACTTCTTTCGGGCGTTGGGTGTCGTGGGAATTAAAAAGGAAAATATCTTAGCGAGGACTTACCCTCTGCGGATTCCCATTTTCTTCTAATCCCGTCCGTACTCCATAGTCTGCTAAAACTCTCTTGGGCAGGAAGTCCACAGAATTTTTTTCAAAAACGGATTTTTATTTGATCATGTTATCATATAGGGTTCCGATAAAGATTCCCTCTCATTTTCCTCACTCCCACACCACTAGGCCAACCAATTTAATTTAGTTATTATCAATTTTCCTGGGAACCAAGCCGAGTCAGTTCAGGAAAGCCTTCCCACACCACTAGGCCAACCAATTTAATTTAGTTATTATCAATTTTCCTGGGAACCAAGTCGACCCAGTTCAGGAAAGCCATTTTGGTGTTGTTTCAGGAGGTCATGTGGTCCAAGGCATTCAACCATTTATTTCACCCATTGTGAAGGGAAATGTTAGGGCCGGATGGGGAGTGTTGATTTCTAAGTTCCAAATCACTTGAAATTGGAAATCTATAAAACTACTTGAGAACCTAATTGATTAGGACGACACTACAAGAATGGCTGACTCGAAAATGACTCAAAAAGAACTTTGACCCAAATTTGGCTCAAGGGAACCTAATGGACGCTTGGCGATTCATTACCTTCTTGATGAGGAGAAATTTGATCCACGTGACTGATTTTGAGTCTAAAGGGCAACATCGTTCAATTAAGAAAACGTGAACGTCGGGCGGCTAGCTCTTTTTCTGACTTCNGAAATTTGATCCACGTGACTGATTTTGAGTCTAAAGGGCAGCATCGTTCAATTAAGAAAGCGTGAACGTCAAGCGGCCAGCTCTTTTTCTGACTTCAATTGGAGCCAAGGGAAATATTTTTTCCTGAAAAGGTGTATTTGAAGCTATTTGATGTTAGGAGCAGAACCAGTACGTTCGATATTCATGCATGATCGCCTTGAGTACTTAATGCAAACCAGTAATCAAATGGCGGGGAAGGTAATGGTCCCTCGAAGTCGTCCGACGCTTACAGAAATGTCCGTCACGCCGTTGAGTTCATTTGGGCTCCCTTCTTATTGAAACTTCCCTGAAGTTGAAAGAAAGGACCACAGGAAGGACAAGTAGTCAGCATCACCCCATCGGAACGGCGAGCTTGTGGGTATCGATCTTATCTGGGAGCTGGTCAGCGACAGACTCACGATAGTACCGTAATATACCTACTGACCTTGTGTACTTGACTGATAGTACCTTCCAAGTTGATTTTGTTTTTTCGAGGCTCCTGGAGCCCATTTCATGACTTCCCCACAGCATGTCAACATTTCCAAGTTGATTGTTTTCAGTGATGGTTCGTTCCGAGAAGAAGAGGAGCTGACCGATGAGGAGGTCGAACCAGAGGTACTACCACATTTGGATGGTCAACGTAATACACTGGAATGGGACGATGATGCCGTAATGGCCACAACAAATGCCCGCTCCTATAGGGTTTGATCCCTATAGGGTTCACTACAAGGTTATTACTACACTACCACCACCCCCTCATAGGTCAGCTAATCACCCCCTCCCTTATCCTCTGACAACGTCATACGTGTGTACCGACTTCATGGCNACCACAAATGCCCGCTCCTATAGGGTTTGATCCCTATTGGTTTACTACAAGGTTATTACTACACTACCACCATCCCCTCATAGGTCAGCTAATCACCCCCTCCCTTATCCTCTGACAACGTCATACGTGTGTACCGACTTCATGGTTGTCCATCCCTCAATTTCATCCGTCTAATCGGATATCCTTCCCTAAATTCTTTGAACGATCATCACTCGTCACACACAGAATTCTATCGTGACATCTTTGGAAAGCCGTTTAAATCGGATTTGTATTATTGTATGTTGTTTATGTTGTGTTCTCATGTTTTTTTCTATATTTGTATTTTCATCTCATCATCTGGTCCGTTCTGTGTTGTGTTTCGCGTAAGGCACTTACTTTCTCACATCACGTTTAATCTCATTATGTCCATGTATTTATACAGCCCAAACTCGTATGCAGATCGTCATGCAGGTACAGGACGCGCGCGGTCGCGGTGCGGCTATGTCTGGCCGCCCGTTACACCTACCGTTTCAGTGTGTCAGAATGTTTGATTGGCATGGGCTATGTTTCATATTTAATACATCCATCCAGCACTTCCCATTAGATTGTATTTATTAAGAAAATAAGAATTTCGTCTACCCGGTTGCCTCTTTTCATCTTTTCCTTTTTTTCTTCTCTCCCTCGCTCTTCCTTTCTCTCTCTCTCTCCCTCCCACATAAATCTTAACTACCACATCATCGTTATTGATCTCACCCAATTAGGCGCAGGATCGCATTTTTCGGCAATGCGCCCCTCATGGATAGTTGATGCGGTGGCTCGAATGTGTATCATCACATCACATATTGACAGTCTGTACTATTTAGACATTTTATGTTTTCTAATAAATCTTTCTTCCACTTAGGACCTGCATTTGTCACGAGAAGGCTCTGCATTTACCGGTTCCAAGTTTTCTACGGAGAAACATGGTCTTTTTTGGTCTTCGTTGAGACGGGGCCTGTGATAGAAATGTGTTGCTGATTGGTCCACAGGAAGGAAAGAAAGAAAAACTGTCTAAGGGCTGCAAACATCCCTATCCTTTCTTGACCACAGATTAGAGCATTAAGGAGGATGGGACGTCAACTCCCTGCAGAGAGTCCCATTACTATTTTTAGACTAGTTTTTCCCCTGAGAATGCTTTACAAAGCTGTAGCTCTCCTCAGGACTCTGACTAACTCAAGGGACAGACCTGGAGAAGCCAATAAGTGTTCGAGGTGGAAGTACGGTAGACTACGGTTCGAAGAGATTGTGCGGTCTACTAGACTGAGTGCGTCATCGAACTCGCCCAACTTTTCGTCATTGACAAGCGTATCGAATGTTCCCGTAAGAAACCAGAATAACTTGGAAAATTGAACAGTTTTACGAACTCCCAGACTCTATACTACCGACCATAGTGGAGGCTTTCAAGGGAATGGAGCGCTAGAAAAATTTAAAGTCTACGATGTCCATCGGTAGGGTTATAATGGTCTATGAACAGAGATCACCAGAGGCAACTTAAGTACTTATCAAACTAAAAACAGCCTAACAAGTTATGCGAGACTGGTGTTGAAGATGACTTATTCTCAGAATGGGATCGGCTGTGGTCTCGTTTTCGGGTAAAAGCGAAGTGTGGGTCACAGTAAGGAGTATGGTAAGGAGTCAGAAGCTCGACATGAAAAGTTCGGACTGTAGCTGTTTGAACTAGCGAACGTGCTCGGTCCTTTGAAGGAGTAGGAACGATATAAATGGTTTTTGAGATTCCCTCATAGGATGAATTTGAGGCCTCCTCTTATACCATATCTGGCGCTATCATGTCGGAAAACGGCCTAGACAGGGCGTTATGAATGCTCGAAGATTGTCTCGTGTGTATCCTAGGACGAGTTTCACCGGCATTGTAGAGGTTGCACCGACTACAAGGGAACCCCTGTGGGAAGTTCAAACAACTTGCCATGACTCATAGCGGCAGTGAAAGACGGTTCTGTACAGTTCTGGCTTGATATAGTCAGCTCTTCGCGCAATTGCAACAACCAAAATCTCGTCCGAATACCCCTTCCATGTTATCCCGTCATGGCAATCTCGTCCAACCTCTATTTTCCCTACTTTGGAGGAGCCATTTTTTCTCGAAATAGGCGAATTCTCCCACTTTTTTCATTACTAGTGGACTATTCCCAATCTATTCTTTTACTTTTCGACCGAAAAGGGTTTTTCGCAATTATCGTGTTCTGTGCTTTGAGGAAGGAGCAACGATATCTTTAAGACAGGAAGGATTGAAAAGACCCAGCAGACCGAATCCAATCGGTTACGAGGCGGCGACGTCCAGCAAGAGTAGCGGGCGCTCTGGGACATACGATCACTGGAGTGGATAACAACCGTCTCCTGAGAGGGAACGAAGATGAACTGGCTATTAGGATGGGTCTCCCCAAGCAGTATCAAATACTAGGGAACCTCTACCCGTGAACAATTTTGATAAGGGCAGTGTTAGGACTAGTCACCGTGCAAGGCTATGTACTAGCCATAACTGGAACTGGGGCAGAAATTGGGGCAACAGCTAATAGAACAAATCGAGTTGTTTTAGGGTTATTATCAGGTTGTACCCTAAGGATGTTAGCTACTGATCCTGCTATTACTATTATGAACTGATTGATTTGAAAGGAGTATGAGCCAGCAGGTTAGATTGGGGCTGTGCCAATTGTAGAGTCGCTACGGATTCTGCTGCCCACGTCTCCTGTGAGTTTCCTATATCAAAGT